TGTGTCGTCGCGTGTTTGCTTTATATATGCATAACCTTGTGTTGTTACAGCTACTTCCTTTATGTGCCTGCCCTGTGTCAAATGTCGCGAGTGTTTAAATCATGTGTTATAATTTTGTGTAGTGGTTGATGTACGCGGTTCTACGATGCTTGCAGTTAGTATTAAATTAAATGAACCAGTAAACAGAAACAGGTCGTAGCGTCTCTTACTTCCCGGCCCCAGCACGAATCCCTGTATGTGGAGAGTGATTGAGACACGTAGCCAAGAGGGAACCGGATAAAAAGGGTTGAGTGTTCTTCCCTCTCTTTGGCGATCGGTGGCGTAGCGGGGGACGTCTCAGGGCCTTTGATACTGTATTTGCGAGTAATGCTCGCCGGCCTCGGAACTACTGTGCCACATCATTAAAGTGGACAGCGGCATATGGTCGACACCAATTGTGTGCTATTGGTACTAGATTTGGCAAATAAATGTTTCCACACACGATTAAACCCTCAAATTTCTCGTGCCTGCACACATTCATGCAGGGGGTGGTGAGTAAAGCAAAGCTTACTTGTGCCAGCATATCTGTCTCTAGTGAAGATGGCCAGGCCATCCACAGGCCAGTACGTAGCACATGAATGGTTAGTTCTTTGAAAATTTGTTCAAATAAACCAACATCTTAAGGTTAAAAGGTTAAGGTTAAGGATGTTGTAGGTAGCCGGCGGATCTAGCCTTGCATAATTTGCAGGCAATTGCCCCGCCTGGTTTCCTCTTTGCTAAATTAAGCTCTGTCCTTTGTTTGTTTTTTAACTAATCACGAGCAGGCTTTTAAAATAAAAATCGTTCATAGCGCGACGTAAGCCTGCATAAGACAGCGGCCTTTGTGCTATTGCACGTGCAGTAGTGTGCCGGTACTGTATCTCGCTGAACTATACACCAAACATAATTGTCACTTAACACCAGTCACATGCGAGGTCTGTAGCAATCAAAAATTTCTAGAGAAGTCGCGACACTGGTTTCCTGAAGATCGAGAAACCACGCGGAAACACAATATCAGTCACGCTGTCGCATGTTGAGCCTAACTGTTGCAGTTCCTCAAATAAACCTTGCCGTTCCTTCTTAAGCGCACAACATTTAAGAAAATAGTGTTCTATATCACCGTTTTCCTTGCACTTCGGGCACAAGGGCGTCGCGGAGAGTCTGATCTTGTGAAGTCATGCTGGTGTACGCGCTGATCCCGTTCGAATGCGATGAAGCGAGCAGGCCTCTTCCCTTGATAGCCCTTGTGTCACACATGGCTGGTGAGGCGTCAGCCATAACGAGTGAAAATGCTTGTTTACAGCTTCTCATAAGATACACTGATGGTTTTTGGGAGCCTTCTTCGTCGGTGTAAGCCCCAGAGCACTCCGGGCAAGTCTGTCAGCCGCCTCATTACCCGCTATACCCACGTGTGATGGAATGCATTGAAACGTAATATTTATACCCATGCCATGCAGGTCTTTAAGAATTCGCAGTGATCTTTGAGTGCATCGGTCCAAAATAAATCCATGTTGCAGCCGCTGCAACGTGGGCTTACTGTCCGAGAACAGCACGACTTGTTGCTGCCTACAAAACCTCAGTTTTTTAGGGCTACCTGAATTGCCACGCTTTCACATGCTGTCGATGAAACAACGCACTCGAGTCTCGCTGCTCACGAAACCTTTAGAGATTGAATCACAAACGCTGCAGCGCTTGCTCCGCGCACTATGTCGACTGATCCATCGGTGAAAACTTTCAAATGACCGGCGTACTTTTCTTCAATATATTCAAGTACCAAAGAAAGTATTTCTGCTGTGGTTGTGGAACGCTTGCTTTGCATCTGTGGAATCGTCACCTGGCAGTCGACATCCTCATGTGCCCAAGGTGGGTCTTGTCGAAGTTGTCTTTGTTTGGGGAAATCGATGATAAGATGTCGAAGGGTGTTGAGGGCCACGAAAGCTCGGGATTCCGTGCGTCGCCGAGGGCGACTGAGTAGTGCTCGTCCTGGGCTCGATTCGCCAAGTTGGCAAAGCTGTGTGAGCAGTCATTGAGAGGCGAGAAGACGTAACGACGGAAGACGAGCTTCATGAAGCACCCTTAAGCTCGCTGCAAACTTTGGCACTCCCAAAACAACTCTGAGAACTTTAAGATGAAGTATTTCCAGCCGTTTGTACTGTGACTCACTCGGAGAGATCAGAGGCAATTGGAAAAGCACAGGGTTGACAATTACTGCCTCGTGTAACTTTATCATTAATGTTGGGTGACTCCCCCAGCTTGTTCCTGCCATCCTTCGAAGAATGTTTACACGGGGCGTCAGCGCTGACATCGTCTTGTCTACTGCTCGTCGGCAATTCATCCTGCTGTCTGGTGTGACTCCAAGGAACCTCATGGACTTAACTTTCTTAATTGATGCACCTGGAAGTAATATTTTCATCCTAGTTTCTCGTCTTCGCATACCTGGGAATAGCATGAATTGAGACTTTTCAGCTGATATTGTTAGTTCATAGACTTAAGATATGTTTGTGCGGAGTGTAGAACTCTTTGGCCAATCATTTCCAATCGCTTATTCTGATATCTAGAAAGCCAGATGCATATGTCGTCAGCATAAATTGATATTTGTACTGTCTTACTCGCAGTCTTGAGGGCATTAAATAAACCAGCCATGACCACATTGAACAACATCGGAGACAGGACACTGCCCTGTGGCACTCCTCTGGTGATTTTCCTTGAGCTACTGAGCACTGTCCCTAACTTTACCTGCATCGAGCGATCACTAAGGAACGCCTGAACAAAGCGTAAAAGGTGCCCCGTTATTCCCATAGATGCAAAACCACAAATTATCGCACCTTGGAACACGTAGTCGTATGCTTTTGAAACGTCCAGGAATATCGCCAACATCTTATTCATGAAGAGTAACATTCGCTTTCCCAGGTATCATGTGTGAGAAAAAAGTTAGTCCTCAGCCGGTGAAGTTTGCTCTCCAAAGGATCATTACCGATAATGAACCGTTAGTTAGACCTTAAAGGATTAACTTTTAGTTGCTCAGGAACAGCATCAGGTAGTGCTTATGGGAGGAATATTTGCTCTGTGAGAGATTATTTTCGAAAAACAACACATACTCTCCACAGGAGCAACAGTTGGTCTAAGGACCATCTGTTGGTCCTTTTGCAGCTAATCTTTCAAATTGTGACAGTTTATCCTTTCGAATTTCACTCCCAAACGGACCAGGGGTTGTGGCAAATCAGTTGAGCTCTAAAAGAACCATATCACTACCTTTTTTTGACCCTCTATTAGGAGCAATGCACCATAGGGTCGAGGCTTGTCCGTTGTCCTGCACAGCCAGGGTGCTGGACAACGGACAAGTCTCCCGACAGGACCAAGCAGGACTTGAACGTGGGATACAAAAATGTGTCGCCCAGAATGCCTGCAACAGGAACTTCACACCTTCTCTACTGGATTAGTTGCCACAAAGACAGAGTAGGGTCACCTTTTTCACCGGATGAAGAGCGACCTTCGACCGCGCTGGAAGCCGAAAAGTGAGTGCAAATGGGCATACCACATGCAAAATACCCACTATAAGCCCACCTTAAGTTTTTTGAGAAGCACCCACCATGCCATTACGCCATTGGTCATTCTGCTGACAAGCGGGGTTTCCGGTACACAAATGTGAGGCAATAAACTACAGCTAGTGGTCATGCTGCCATTAGAGGTGTTCTGTGGTGCCACCTCGATGGAGAGTGGCCTCCTCTGCGAGCGTGCTTATCAGACTCGTAATTCAGGAGAGAATGAAGGTCACTTCGCTCGCTGCCATAGCTGTGTTTACGAAAGAAGCATGCTGCGCCCACACGAAAAATTAAGAATTGTTACAGTTGCTGGTGCTTGTCCTCTATCTACTTGCGCGCTTGTTTCGTAAGCCATTCTGTTTGAATAGCGCACTTTAAGTGTCGAGCTCCAAAACTTTCAGTCCACGCACTTTGTGCCTTCTTTCTGCTGCAGGTGTGCGCTGCAAGTTTCGAGCTGGTTATCGTTCTTCGTGTGAATTCGCCATTTGTTGCTGCAGCATTCATTTCTTCGCTCTGGCGGTGAAAGAATGCACAAAAACGCTCAACTTTCTTTGTGAAGACACGTTTCTGTTTCGTGTTATACCGAGTCCCAAAAAAAGGGGATAAGCGACATTTGTTAGTTTCAAAGGGACAGCAAGTCGACTTTGTGTGACAGTATCTAACTGCGATGAAACAGAGTCACGAAACAGATAAATATGCCAGGGGTGACTGCAGCATGCTCTGGCGAGTGCGACCACCCGAAGGCTGCGTGCAGTTCCGTCATGGCGGCACTCATGTGGTCACAAGTTCTAATGCATGGGCCTAATGGGAAGCTTTTTCTCTAGGGTAGCATATTAACTCCAAGGCATAATGAATCCACGGCTCCTGAAGAACGAAGTCTTCCCACACCAGAAAACATTTTGCGACTTTTTCGCTAGGCACTGACGCGCGCGATAAATGATCATGCGGCATCGTGGAAAAGGTGAATCGCGTTGTCAGGGAGCTGTTCGCAGTGCCGCGAGCGTTGGTGTACGAGATGAATAGGGGCACAGCCACGGCCTTCGAGATGGCGGGCGCCTCGGAGACCATGGGCACAGCGAACGGGTGGTGGTAGCGGGGTGAAAGAGCCCGAGGTAAAGGTAAATAGACCACGTGACTTACATGAACAAATGACCGTCCTTACGTGTGGTGATCTCTGATCGCATTTTGATAAAGTACGACTGTTCGCCGCATGCGCAATGCACACATGCCCTCGCCGCCACTGCCAGCCACGCTTGTGCGTCAGTCACCTCACGCAGTGCATTATTGGGCCCATTGCACCAGAAGGTACGTGAGCTGACGTGTACTGCTGCGCTATGTGCTCCTATAGGTGTTACGTGGCCATAAGTCGTTGAAGTTCGAAGCGTACAAAACAAAAGCACCATTGCTGGCATAGTGCCCGGAGCGGCTACAAAGTCTGAGATGAGTGACGGTGCTTCAGCACAGGCAGGCGCGCTTCAGCCCCCAATGAGTCCCACTCTCGCCGGCGAAAGGGTCGCTGTGTTAACTGTAGAGGAAGCGCTTTCGGAGCGTGATGGACCAATTCCTGATTACGAGCAAGTCCAAGTGATTGGCGATTTCTCCGTAGAGGGTGACCGGTACATCGAGAGTGCGGCACACAGGAGGTACCTGCGAAAGCCACCTCCCGACAGGACCGAGCAGGACTTGAACGTGGGATACGAAAATGTATCGCCCAGAATGCCCGCAACAGAAACTTCACACCTTCTCTACTGGATTAGTCGCCACAAAGACAGAGTGGTGTCACCTCCTTCACCGGATGAAGACCGACCTTTGACCGCGCTGGAAGACGAAAAGTGAGTGCATGTCGAGTTGACCTTGATTGCTATAGTGAAAAAGAAGTGCTGTCTTCAAGCGGCTACGTTTGTCCGAATGTTGCCAAGTGTCACCTCGTGCAAATATGTGTTGTGATTCTGTATTTATTTGAGATCATTCACTTCACGGGGTAGCGGTATCAATGAAATGCTTCGACAGCTTCTTTCTCGTGCGCGAAAGTACTGCAATAAGAAAAAAAAGAGAAAATGCCCGTACGCAGAACATGCCTAGAGTAAAATTAATATAATCTCTTGAATTCACGCAAGGAAGATATCTAGGTGATAAGAGTGAGACCTGGCCGTGTCAGCCAAATGATAGGTGAACAGAGTGATTCTTGGGCGCTGCGAATAAGGGCATTGTGACTAATTGTCACGCCTCACAAGACCGCTTCGCCAATGCACCGTGCGTTATCGGAATGCTTTCAAACGGCCTCCACTTTGTGCATGGTAGCAGTAGAACTATATACCGGACTGGGATTTAACTGAGCACATTTCGCCGCCAAACGTGAAATTCTTACCCGGATATGTCGTCGCCAGAGTTCAAATTATATTTTTATGAAACGATGGCAGGGCATGTTAGTGCGGGGCCATAGAGGTTGAGTCGCAAGGAAAAAAAAGGTGCACCCAGGGGACTAGTCGCCGGAGTGGCGAAATTGCGTCACACGGTGATAGTGTTCCAGTCCACAAAAATGTCGAGAGTATCAAGCGCATTCCATTTTCTAAAGCAGGGGTGGCCAACAGGAAGCATTCCAATAAACTGCTTCTTAGGGACAACTGCTGCATAGATACGGTTGTTCACAACTCCATCGTAAGAAAATAACCTTGTGCATAGCCACATCAGGCGATAAGCAATGATTCTGGCCACGTCCGGTTGATCAGCAAAGATGTGGGCTTTAGGATGGACCAGCAGCAAGATGGACTGGTTTCGCTGGTTCACCGGCCACCTCTGCTTTAAAAGATGCATGTGCTTGGCAATCACTTGTGATTATCTTTTCCTTTAGAGAGTGTGCATGCTGTTCAGCTTTTAGGACACAACAGAAGGAAAGTTTGAGGAGAGGCACTGAGGTCTCTTTCTGTGAAGCCCGAGAGGAGCAGGATTTTGGCTATATTGAATAGAAAAATTCTATTTTAAACGTGAACAACGAAGTAGAAACCGTGTCCATCTCTCGTGATCGAAACTATGAGGGTTGCGGGGCGTGGCTGGTGGTGATTAGAAACCAGGGGAACGGTAGACCTCGCGCTGGATCACCGCGATGCCTTTTGCAAAACCATTTCACAGGAGTGTTCAGCTGTTTAGCGAATAGGTTAAAAGCCTGAAGAACATTGTATCACACATGAGGAATGATATTGTGACACGTTTTTATTCTTACATTTTTCCGTATCTGGTTTACGCTCACAAATGTTATCAGCAATGCTCCACGCATACCACGCCACAGTTTGATTGTAGCATGGAATTATATGAAAAGCATAAGAGACAGCAGCGTGCATAATTGGGCGAGTTCGTTAAGTTTTATGATGTAAAAACTAGCGCATAAAGACGACACACAAAAAGAAGGGCACCGGACAAGATTTGAACTGGCAACTGACATATTTAATAAGAAAAAAAAGATAATGAATACAATCAGTACCGATGCACGCGAATCTTCCAAACTGCACGTAATTGTCACGCTTTTTCAAATCGTGTACAAAGATAGATGGGGCGCAGATGCGACTATCATGGTTTTTGTCGATGTTTAACGCTTCTATGGTTCCACGTGATATTGATTCATGTGTCTGAAGATGGCATTCATGTTGTGGAACGAAGGTTTACAACCACAGGCACGACAACGGGAAGACAAATGTGAAGTGGATGTGCCTTTCAATGTGTTGCAGTGTTGCCGGAGCCTCTCGTTAAGACAGGCACCAGTATGACCTATATACGATTTCCTGAATTATAATGGTGTAATGTGTACCACGCCAATGAGACATGTGACAACTCGAGCACGATGCTTGACGGAGCACACTGTTAACCTTCTATCTGTGAAATGTTTATCTGCGCGTGTAGGGAACACTATATCAAAGTCCAAACCTTTTGAATTTTTTTGAGCCTGCAGTGTGATAATGCATGAACATATGAAATGACTGCGAAAATTTTCGGCCCATTACTAGTAAACTACTAAACCTCTAGTGGACTACTTCATGCAGTACAATCTTAGGCTTTTACCGTCAGACAGAGAATATTCTTTTGCTGTGATGTCCGTTGCATTGTTCTCTGAAAAAGCGGCTTTTGCAGCTATGAAGAATTTCAGGCCGGTGTCAATAAAACCTGCTCGTTTCTCAAGAACATGCACTAACGCTCATGCATGAAAGATGTATTCAGCGTCTCCGCCAATCTGTGGAGAAGGACACGCTCCACACTTTCTTTAGCGCAAAAAGTGGACATTTCATTCCGATCCACTGTCACTGAGCGCTGCTCCTAGCCACCTTACCAAGTATCTGTCCGCCCATAACCCTGGTTCTAATACAGTTGCTAGCTTTGATGCAAAAAAAAACCTCTTTTATTTTATTCCATACCTCACGATAAGCTTATGGCTTCAGTATAACAATGCATAACTGATAAATGTAATAAACTTGTCTTTAGAAATAGACGTGATTTAATGTAACAACAGAGGCCTTCTTAGAACTGCTCAGTCTCTATTTAAACGCGACTTTTGTGATGTGGGAAGGTGTACCATATGTTCGAAAATTTGGTATTTACATTGCCTTGAAAGTGGCGCCTGAACTTAGTAATGCCTTTTTGTCCGTGTTTGACTGCGACATAGAAAAGGAGGCACATGGTCTTGTGATCATGAGCTTTCGTTATGTCTACATTTTGTTAACTATCCTGCCAAGTGTCGCTTATTGATATTGATTAATATGTGGGGTTTAACGTCCCAAAACCACCATATGATTATGAGAGACGCTGTAGTGGAGGGCTACGGGAATTTCGACCACCTGGGGTTCTTTAACGAGTGCCCAAATCTGAGCACACGGGCCTACAACATTTCCGCCTCCATCGGAAATGCAGCCGCCGCAGCCGAGATAAGAGTGACGCTTGAACCTTCCTGTTTTATAATTTACTGAACATATTTAAAGACAATGCCGATGGGTCTGTTCCCGACTGACGAGCTGGTGAATGGGGCCATTAGATTTTTAGATCTGTGCTTGTTTACTTAATCAGACCATTTATGCTAGTGTTTTTCGCCGCGAGCGAAAAAACTAACTTTTGAACTATTCATCAGGGCAGTACAAGGTTGTGAAGTATGAGGTTGTGAATGGCATTGACTTTAATTTTTGAAATTCTGCTCTTAACAAACCCTGCCACTACAGAATCCAAGCCAGTTTTCAGGAGCAGTTAGCTCTTTTAAGAAAGGTGGACTTCCGGGGTTTAACATTGTCATGCGTTTTTCTCAGCTTGCTGAAATCTTTAAAGATAACAGCTGTAGAGCTGTTATCTTTATCAGGCCCCAACAAATTTGCAAAAGGTTTCGACCTTGATGTAGTGTTCTCTGCCCGCGGCAAGGTTGGACGAGCACGCGCCGCTGTAGATAGAATATTAACAGGTCTATCGCGTAAAGATAGTGTGTTCCGTCAAGCATCGTACTCGGTTTGTAGCATGCAGTAATTGGTGTGGTATGCATTATGCAGTTATCATGCGGGAAACTGTACATAGATTAGACGGATGCCTGCCTTAAGGAGAGGCTCCGGCAACAATCCGTAGGGCACAACCACTACGGATTCGTCTTCTCATTGTCGCACCTGTGCTTCTAAACCTTTGTTCCATAACAGGCATGTCATCTTCAGACACATGGATCAAAGATCACGTGAAATCACCGAAGCATTCAACACCAATAAAAACCACGATTTACCCCCATCAATCTTTCTACATAACTGTGCAATCACTTTACTTGAAAAAGCGTGACCACTGCGTGCAATTTGGAGGATGCGGACAATGATGATGACGATGGTGATGAACCTTCAGCTTTGCTGGCACTCGCCCACAAAGGGGGATCGGCCAAGAACCGGGCGGCAGGATCATCAAGTGTGCTAAGTCAGGCATTCAGGCAGTCTCGTAGCCGTAAATAATAACAATAGACTAACAATGTAATCTTTTTGTTGCCATTATGTACTCACACACAGCAGTGAAAACCTCCCTGTGGCTATAAACTAATGTAATCCCTCCTGAGGATGTGGACGCAGCGGTACTCATTGTACTTTTTGTTCTCTTCTTTTGTTATAAAGGTATCAGTTGCTACTTTCAACGCTTGCACTGTGTCCTCTTTCTTTTTGTGTGTCGCCTTTATGCTCTGGTTTTTATATCATGAGAAGAGAGGACACTCCCGTTGGCCCCTGCGGCTAATGTGGGCGTGGGGAATCTTCGCAGCCTCAGAGATGGGCCCCGTGGAAATGGTTGTCTCTAGGCTAGTGTACTAGTGATTACAAGTATTTCACGGCCTTCAAGACATCTGTAAATGGGCTCATATAGGAAGCGATACATTACGTTTTTTTCTGTAAATGCGTTCTTTGCATGCAACATGCTTCGTGTAAGCTGCACGGCCGGAGGGGCAAGCACAAAGTGCCAGTTTGTGTGTGTGTGTGTGTGTGTGTGTGTGTGCACGTATAAAATAAAACACGAAAAACTCTTAAATAGACGAAAGCTTTCATTTGCGACATTTGAATTTTGGGCTTGTTAATTATTTGTTCTTGAGTTTTGGAGTTGTTGGCGCATACTGATGACGACTTATTTTCAAGTCATTTTCTTCATAAGCATTTGTATATTTTTTCTCCATGTTTGATGAACCCGTGCAAGAAAAGATGGGTATATTGCGGGTCAAAACATGGCAATGCATATGCTATATTTTGAATATCAACTTAGCTGAAGAACTAAACAAATGTGCGACAATATGAAAAGCCCCGCTGAACAGTAAAACTGCAGTACACGCTGTTGTGTTACGCACAACTCG